TGCGCGGAGTCTGGGAAAGCACGCGCGAGAGGTGGCTGCTCCACCGCAGGAGTGCAGCTGGACCAGCAGGGAGACCCTCCGCCGCTCCGAAGGGACAGCTCGCGCCACCGCGGGCACCGCTGCAGCCGAGCATTGATTCGAGGTGTACTCACTACCCCGACCTGGAGAGCGTCTCCCTCCGACGCGGGCCTTGGGCACGCCTCAGAGATCCCCCGTCCTCTTTYATCTCCTTCCCAGCATCCACTCTTGTTCCATCCCAAATCCCCGCCAGGGAAGACCCGCACGTCACTGATGGGGCCATGGTGGGATTGTCGCCTGCTTCCTTCTTGAGCCCTGTGTGTCCAAGGGACTGAGGAGGGAATGGGGGAGTAAACTGCTGACATTGTGAGGATGAGGGGACCATTCAGTACCCCCTGCAGCTCACTCTGGGGTAACCCCTTTCTTTCAGATCACTTCTGAGCCTCAAAGGTGGAGGAGGAGCTGAGCAGCTGGAGGTGGGACCTCCTGGAGGGCAACTCAGACCAGAGCCACGTCTTCTCGCCCTCCTTTCCCTACCTTTGTGTGAAATAAAAGCAACTCCTTTGATGCCCTGTGTGTATGTGGACAGTGACACCTGCAGCCACAGTCTCTTCTCCCTTTTCTTCCATGCTCTGAGGTTCTGGTTTCCCCTCTAGACTCAGATCTGGGAACAGCACCCTGCCACCTGTACTTGGACCCTCCTTATTTATAGGGACAGACTGAGCAAGAGTGATACCCAGAGCTGAGACTCCTGAAGCCCAGAATCATAATAGGGACACAGCAGAAGGGCCCTGTAAGTAGCTTTGCTACTCAGACTTAGGCCCCAGAACAACAGCAACAGCACCACCCCAGAAGTCCTCAGAAATGCAGGATTTTAGCAGAGTTCAGTGGCACACACCTGCACTCCACAGCAGGAAGCTGTGGCAAGAAGATCACAAGTTTGAGGCCATCCTAAGCAACTTAGTGGGACCCTGACTCAATATAAAAATTTTTAAAAATGGCTGGGGATGGTTCAGTGCCTGCCTAGTGTGTGGCCAGGCCCGGTTCCCATCTCCAGGATACACACAAACACACACATGAAATGCAGGCTCTTGGACCCATCCAGATCTCCTGAATCAGAATCTGCATCTTAATGAGATTCCCCAGGGGATTTCTGTGTTCACTGAAGACACCCCACTCCCACCACCTTGGTGCTGGGATGAAACCCACCACCACCACCAAGGCTCTACCACTGAGCCTTACCTCCAGCCCTTTTAAAATGTTTTTTCCTATTAAAATAAAATTTACATAAAATTCACCATTTTAACCAGTTTAAACTACAAATTCAGCGGCTTTCAGTATATACACAATGTTATACAATCAATTCCATCTAATTCCAGAACACTTTCATCATATCCTGTAATTACTAGGCAGTTACTTCCCATTCCCTCTCCCACCAGTCCCCTAAAGACCTCTAACCTTTCTCTCTATGGACTTGTCTCTCTGAATRTTTTATATAAACGAATCATACAATAAGTGGCCCTTTGTATCTGGCTTCTTTCACTGAGCATGTTTTTAAGTTGTACATCTATCAGTACATTCCATTTCATGGTTGAATGATGTTCCATTGAATGGATGTACCTCATTTTATTCATCCAAGCATTAACAAATGGACATTTGGGGTTGTTTGCACTTACGGGCAAATATGAATAATGCTATAATTTATTCACTTATTTATTTACGAGTTTTTGTGTAGATATATTCTCGTTTTCTTGAGTATGTGCCTAGAAATGAAACTGCTGAACCAAATGGTAACTGTTCAACTTTTTGAAGAACTGCCAGTTTTGCACAACAGCTGTGCTATTTTCCAACCCCACCAACAACATGAGCTGCGGACGTTTCGTGGACGCCTTCTATCAGATTGAGACATTTCCCTTCTGTTTCTTGAGTGCTTTTTTTTTTTTTAATCACAAAGGGGGTGTTGGGTTTTTTCCAAATGCTTTTTCTGCATCAAATGAGAGGATCAAGTGGGGTGTTCTCCTTTTGTTTTATTAATAACACATTACATTGATTAATCTTTGTATACTGAGTGAGCCTTGCATTCCCGGGGTTAATCCCACTTTGGCAAAGTGTACAGTCCATATATATGCTAGTGGATTTTGTTGAGGACTTTTGTACCTGTAAGAGATATTAGTCTGTGGTTTTCTTGTGATGTCTTTGTGTGGCTTTGGTACTAAGGTCATAGTAGTCTCATGGGATGGATTAAGAAGTGTTTCTTTTCTTTTTTTTTTTTTAAAGAGTTGATTTTTCTTTAAACATTTGATGGAATTCACCAATGAAGTCATCTGGCCATGGGCTTTTTTCCTCCACTGTAAATTCTTTGATCACTGATTTAATCCCTTTGGTATAGGTCTATCTACATTTTCTATTTCTTCTTGAATCAGTTTGATAATCTGTGTTTCTAGGAATTTATCCATCTCCTCTAGAATGTCCAACTTGTGGTCACAGAATTGGTCACAGTGTCTTCCTATCCTTTTATTTCTGTAAGGTTGTGAGTAGTGTCACTCTTATTCCTCATGAGCATTCCCTCCTTCTCTATCTAAATATTTATCAATTTTGCTCATATTTTTATAGAACTTTACAAAATTTAGATTGCTTTCTGGTCTATTATCAGCTGAGTGGAGTGTTTTACATAGCTCTAGTTGGTTTACCAGATTGTTCAAGTTTTGTTTCCTTGTTTACCTAATTGCTCTATCCAATAGAGAAAGTGGAATGTTGTAATCTCCATTGTGTTTATTTATTTAACCAGGGCATTGCACATGCTAGGCAAGAGTTCTACCACTGGCTACATTCCAGCCCTTCCAACTATTAAATTGCCTATTTCTCCCATCAATTTCAGTCAATTTTTATTCAAACTTTCTAGGGCTTTATTATTTGGTACATAAGTATTTATAATTGTCATATTCTTATAGGTTGACTCTTATCAGGGTAAAATGTCCTGTGTCTCTTGTAACAGTGTTAAAATCTGCACTGCAATTCCTTCCTTTTAAATGCAGAATTATTCCATTTACATTTAAAGTGATTAGTAATAATTCTTATTACTAAAGAAATGAGTCAATTCATTCATTATGCTATATTGTGTTACAGATCAAAAGCATATCATTTTTATTCCTTTTTCACTTTCACTGTTTTAGTTATTTTCTTAGTGGTTTCACTGGAATTACAATTAACATCTGCTTCATACCAATTTGGTTTGAATGAACATCATTTTTTGTATGTGGTGCTGAGGATCGAACCCGGGCCGCACGCATGCCAGGCGAGCGCGCTACCGCTTGAGCCACATCCCCAGCCCACATCATTTTTTAATAGTATACAAGAATTTGTTTCTACACAACTTCATCATCCACCCATATGTTGTTACTGTCACAAATTATCTTTATACATTTTGTGTCCGTCAATATTAGTTATTGTTTGGTATGGTTGTCTTTGAAATCATGTGAGGAATAGGTAGGTATGGTGACACACACCTGTAATCCAAGTGACGTGGGAGACTGAGGCAGGAGGATCACAAGTTTGAGGCCAGCCTCTGCTACTTGGCAAGGCCATAAGCAACTTAGCCAGACCCTATCTCAAAAGGGAGGGGGGAAGATGGGGATGTAGTGACTCAGTGGTTAAGTACCTCTGGCTTTAATGCCTGGTACCAAAAGCAATCAATCAATCATGTGAGGAAAATGAAAAAGCAGTTACACATTCAAAAAATACATTAATATTTTTATATTTACCTTTGCAATTACCGTTATTGGTGTTCTTTAATTCTTCATGTGGATTTTAGTTACTGTCCAGTAGTCTTTATTTTGGCTGGAAAGACGTGGCAATCCATGTGTGATATCTACTAGCAACAAATTGTTTTTGTTTATCCCAAATGTTTTATTCTCTTTTTGAGTTTATTTTGCCAGATATAGGATCTTTTTTTTTTTTTTTTTTTTTTTTTTTTTGGTACTAGGGATTAAACCCAGGGGCACATAACCACTGAGCCACATCCCCAACCTTTTTTTACATCTTATTTAGAGACAGGGTCTCACTGAGTTGCTTAGGGCCTCGCTAAGTTGCTGAGGCTGGCTTTGAACTCGTGATCCTCCTGCCTCAGCCTCCTGAGCCGCTGGGATCACAGGCCTGCGCCACTGCGCACAGCCAGATAAAGGATTCCTGGATGACATTTCTTGGAGCATATTAAACATATCACCCCACTGGCTTCTGATCCCCATGACTTCTGATGAGCCACTGGCTGCTGGTCTTATTGATGATAACCTCGACATGACAAATTGCTTCTCTTGCTGTTTTCAGGATCCCTGCCTCTCTCTTTGGGTTTGGTCTCAATGCGTCTCTTTTATCCTGCTTAAAATGCACTGAGCTCCTTGGATGCACAATGCCTTCCACCAAATGTGTAAGTTCTCACTCTTTTTTCAAGTATTTTTGCCATTTCTCTCCTCTCCTGTGATTTCCCATGTGTACGCTGGTATACCTGCTAAGGTCCAGCAATTTTCTTAGGCTGTTAATACTGCATTCTTTTTTTCTTTCTGCTCCTCAGACTGGATACCCCCAAGTGGCCTATCTTGAAGTTTGGTGATTCTTCTGGTTTCTCAAATCTTCTCTTGAACCCTTCTAGTGAATTTCTCATTTATTTTTATGCTTTTTAATTCTAGAATTTCAATTTCATTCTTTTTCTCATTCCCCTTTATTGAAATTTTCTATTTGGTTCTATTGGATTCTTTCAGTTCTTTGTTCATGGTTTCCTTAGCTCCTTGAGCTTTGGGGGTTTTCTTTTGTTTTTCTCCAGTGGATTTAAAGTCTTTGGTAAGTACATCTGAGCTTTCTTGTTTCTATTAGTAAGTCTTTCATGTGTGAGCCATACTTTTTTGTGTGCCTAATATTTTTGCTGAAAACTGAACATTTTGAACAGTAAAAGGCCACTTAGAAAATCAAATCTCCTTTTTACCAGCTTGTTATTACTCTATGTTGTAGTTTATTCAGTAACTTTCTTGAGCTAATGCTTTAAAGTTGTACTCTTTGTCCAAGGGTGATCTCAGTCTTTGGCTAGCTTAGTAGCCAGTCAGTCACCAGATTTCCCTAAACATCTGGAACAAAAAAAGTCCCCCCAGTCTTTGTGGGTGTTTTCCATGCGTGAGCCATACCTGTCACTCAGGCAGCTTCTAACTCTGCCTTAGCTTTCTCTTCCTGCTTGTGAGCCACAGGTGGGAGCTCAGGACTTTCTCAAGTCTTTCTCATGCACCCAGGACTGGACATGTGTGTGATCCTCTAAATTCCCAGGACATGTGCAAGCTCTTCAAACATGTCATTTCCTAAAGCACCTCACTCCCTAGCCTTTCCTCTCTCGAGTTTCTAATTTGTCTCCTGTTTGCCCAACTATTATCCCTCTCCCTAGGCATCAGTGGCTAAAAGATTGCCTTTGAAATGACCCCCCCCCGTCCCCAGTTGCCACCTTCACCCTGGGAAAGTTCCAAATTAGGCCAAACAAAAGTAAGTTATTTGAGTTAGTCTTTTAAGGCATAACCTGACATAATTATTCCTGAGGATAATATCTATTCTCTTCCCTCCAGTGTTACAAAGATTTACAGGGAATGAGGAATATTGCTTTTGATGCTACTGTCAAGCTGGGGAGTGGGGAATGGTACCACGGTAAGTTAATATACAACAGAATTCATACTGAATTCACCTTTTTCTTCCTTAAGCATTCACTTGGTCGCTGTGAACTCTATTTCCAGATTTCCAATAAAGTTGACTCTGAAAAGAGTTTTTGCTAGCTTACTTGTTTTGTGAGTAGACTTTGGGGATTTCCCTATCTCACCATTGTTGTTGAGCACACTAAATTTTAGAAAGCTCTGCTCTAGTTTACTGCTCATTTTATAAAGGCCCAAAGACAGATGTGACTTCTCCAGGGTCACAAGGCAAATCAGTGTCTGAGCCAATATCAGAATAGGGATACTCAACTTGCAGCCCAGAGTGTTTTCTGATTCAGGATATAGGCTCTAACTACAAAAGGAAACGGGCTCAGTGTGAATACCAGTGTTGGACCAAGGAGCAGCTTTCCTAGGAGCAGGAGCTGTGGATTATGGTCTCCATTAGAGCTGGGAGACTTGAATGACTGACTCCTTTACTGAGAAGAGATTTGCATGGGGTCTGATGGGGGACAGAGTAATGATGTACCTGTCTCTTATTGGGAACACAGGCACAGAGAGCTTTCAGGTTTGATAGGTAAAAATAAGAAAAGTGCCCCACTTGCCCTACAGATACGAAAACTCACTAAGAGCTGAATTCACCTTGTGTTTCATCTTTCTGTTGTTGTTTGGTGATGCTGAGAACTGAACCCAGGGCCAGGCAAGCTCTGAGCTACATCCTCAATCTCTTTAGTTTTACTGTGAAACAGGGTCTTCTGAAGTTGCCTAGGTTGGCTCCAAATTGGCAATACTCCTGCCTCAGTCTCTCAAGTAGCTGGGATTACAGGCATGTGTCACCATGCCCAGCTCATGCTTCGTATTTTAGTTTTCCTTTCAGAAGTGAGATTAGATGTGTAGCCTGGACTGGCCTTGACTACTGTTTCCAGAAAGCAGCCAAGGCCCAGTGCACCTGTCTTCAGAAAGAGGCCTGTAAGGCTGCATCTCAGGTACCTTGAGTTGGGTCCATTTCTTCCTCATCACAGTCTTACAACCCAGTCCCTATAAATTAGCTTATGCCCCCAAATTTCTAATTCAAATTGTGCAAATTTTCACTGGCTAATAAGATGGGAACCCCTGAGCCACGAAGCAGGGAAAAAAAAAAAAAAAACAGGCTGTCCCCAGGAAGTCATTTCCAGAACATTCCAGAGCTTGCTGACTTTAATTTTAAAACAGTTTTTGGCTACAGACATTCAGGTTTAAGGCACATTCCAAACTACAAGGAGCCCTGTCACTGGCAGGGAACCAGCCTTGTTCTTGTGGTTGTACATGGATGATGGAACAAATGACTTTCTGGCCTTTTTATTTTTCTAAAAAGGAGTGAGTTTGGCAAAAACAAAGCCTATGACACATTCTCACCAGATGCAAACTTTACCCTGACAGGTCCTCCCTTTTGTCTTTGGTGAGGGCAGGGTGCTCTCTACCCACCCCTTCGCTCTCACCAGAAATGTGTGTGTAGTAAACAGACTCGTATGCATCTGTCTGGCAATGACAGTTAAAAAAAGAAAGAAAATATGCCTTCAAATAGACATACAAAATCACATGACTAAAATGAAGCTAAGAGTCTTCGTCACAAGCAATGAGGAATGACTGCATGAATCAGGAAATAAAATATCTACCTTAAGAGCAAGAGGCGAAGGGACGGAGGCACCTTGAGAGAGCTCAAGCCCCACCCAGGCCCTTCAGCACGACATAATATGTGGAGTGGGAAGGGCAGGAAGGTCAGGGCCACGGCTCTAGGGACAGACAGTGCACCTTTGGGCTATTCTGCGGATTTGTGAGAAAAGGGTGCTCCTTTGGCCTTTTCAGGGCATCACCATTGCCTGCAGGGGGCAGAAGTGAGCCACGTCATTGCTCAGGGGTCACTCCTCAGTCGTTGCCACCACAGATCTTTAGCAGAATCTTCCGGTAGTCCCCTGAAGTGTCTCCCTGGTCACAGAAACAAAGGCATCCGGTAAGGGAGGCAAGGCACTTCCAGCCTCCTGGTTCCTGACTTTCTTTGGTTCCAAGCCCCCTTGAGGAGAAGCAGGGCCCTCCTGGGAAATGTCCCACCCTACTGGTCCTACAACAGGCAGCGAGCGCAGTCCTTAGACAGTGCAGTTCAGCCTTCCTGGGTCCCCATTTAAAAAAAAAAAAAAAAGCTGCACCCCAGTTTATCAAAGTCAACTGCAACAAAATTAAAATCAGCCTAAAACCACTATGCAAGGCTAACCAGGATTGTTCTTTTCCCAGTGCGCTGACCTAGCACCAAACTGAGGTTCTGCCATAATGTACCATGTCCTGCCCAGGGAGTGTGATTTCCATGACCACACAATGTCAGATGCTGCTACTACACAGGCCTCCCAGCTCCCAGGCTCTCTCCTCTGTCTGACTCCTCTGCACCTGCTCCAGGAGTGCTGGCCAGGCCCTGCTAATTTCTAATCATTTCCTGCCACTGTCTGTTCTTTGAGAGTAAGGCCCATGGCTTCTTCCGGATGCCAGTCTGCTGGCGCACAGGAGATGCTGTCAGGAATTGCTAGCTCCCTGCTTTCACAGCCTTATCTTTACAGCATGGAAATGGAGATGAGTTTCTCTCAAGGAACAACATCAAATGCTAGGGAGTCTGGACCTGGTCCTGGCAATTTCAATTTTAAAGTTCACATGAGTTTGGAATTTCACCGTCAAGTCACCCAGACAAGAATAAATGTTGTCAGCCTGACTATGGGGCACAGTGACACAACAGTTGCCATTGGGTGATCACTTCCACGCACTGACTGACTGAGCAGGTGCACTGGAGCTGAGGATGCAGGGTCCAGACACACTTGGACCTCAGAAGCTTACAAGTTGTTCAGGGGCAACTGGATGAACCAGTGGAAGTTGAAGTCTGAGGTCCAACAAGATTACACATGTGGCCCAGAGCCCAAGCACCTGGATGTTCCAGAAAGGGCAAGGTGAAAACAGGGGCACAGGTGAGTGGGATTCCAAGAGCCAGCCCAGTCAGCCCCGGGGCCTCGTACCGTGATGTCGTGGTAGAGCGACTTGCCATATAACCGCTTATACTCTGCTCTGATGTCCAGGAGGTCGATCTCGCTGCGAGACACCATGATGCGAATCAGGGTCCTGTCCTTCGTTCCTGCTCCCTAAAGAGAGTCCACCCAAAGCATGAGCAACGGGCCTTCTACCCTCTCACTCCCCAACCCTCTGCCCCTCCCCCGCCCCCAGGTGCTCAGACTTCCAGGCTGAGGTCTCTCTCTCCATGACTTCTATGCTTAGCCCCTGGTCCCAGGCACAGGTAGGGCTAATGCAGGGATGACCTGGGCCTTTTGCACGTGGGAGTTACATACCCTCATGGCCCTGTTGAGCCTTTCAGCAAAGAAAGCTGGAGTATTCTTGAGACATTTCACTAGAAGAAAAAACACAGCATAACCAGATCAGCAGAAAACACAGCCCGAGAAAGGCACAGACTACCCAGGTGTCCTCCTTGGAGGCCTCAGAGATCAAACCCGTCACTGCCTCCATCTTCCTCTCCTCCAGGCCCAATTACACCTCATGATCCTGACTCCAGCTCTTTGGAATAGGAACACAGAGTCTGGCACCAACCCAGCCTCTCTCCTGGTAACTTCCCAGATAAAAGGAGTGAGAACATGAAGTACGGTGGTGCACGCGGGTAATCCCAGCCACTCAGGACACTGAGGCAGAAGGATCCCAAGTCCAAGGCCAGCCACAGCAATTTAGTGAGATTCTTGTCTCAACATAAAAAATAAAAAGGGCTGGGGATAGCTCAGTGGAGCCCCCTGGGTTCAACCCAAGTACTGTAAAAAAAAAAAAAAAAGAGGAATGAGAACCAGTGGCCCCTGAGCAATGCAGGGAGCTGTGTAGGGAGGGGAGGGAGAGGCACATCAGAGCCCTATGGACCTCACAAAGAAAGACGGCTGAGCAGAATAGTGTCCTTCTAGAATTTTCAAGCAAGAGACACACATGGGGACATGTAAGGAAATGAGGACTTGTTGTCTGTTCAACTCAGAAAGCTCCAAGGAAAGCACAGTGGGCTGGGGGTGGGGAGGGATGGGGAGGGCAAACTGCTTTTCCCAGTGAGTATAAAGAGCTGTTGTGAGAGCCACAGGGAGAGGACCCAACTCTGCATGATAGGCAGGGCCTGCTTCAGAGGCCACAAGCCCTGCAAGAAGCAGCCACCCTCCTGGGAGCCCCGCCAGCTTCCTCTGGCATAGGCCTGTTTTGCTGTTGCAAGTAAAATCTTTCCACGTGTTTCCATCACAAACATCTGACAACTGCCTGCAGGGATGTATTTTTAGAGGAAACTTGGCAGGATATGAGTCACCTTCYTCCGGGACAGCAGCTGGATGCTCTCCCACTAATGCCCACACTGCAGCTCCCTGTCCAGAGTGGCTCTGGAAATATAAACAAGACACCCCTGACCGGGCTAGCGGGGCTCACTCTGCCATGATCCGGGAAGCAGGACTTCCCACCATTGGATCTGGATTTAGCAACCCTGGACACTTGGTTCTTGCACTCCGCCACCCTTCAGCAGGAGGACGGTGAGCACCCTGACCACTGCTGTGCGTGTCAGCCCCTGCCTGGGGAGAGGGGCAGGTCTGAGAAACTTACCCACGGCCAGCATGCCCTGCTCCAGGTCCCCGGACATCTCCCGGCAGATGCTCTTCTCAATGTCTCGACCAGTCATCCTCTGGTACTCGTTGAAAACTAGCAGGAAGACAGAAAGGACATGTCATGGACTGAACTGTTTCCCCCCAAATTCAGATGGCGAAATCTTAACCCCAGTACCTCAGAACAGAACTGTATTTGAAAATAGGGTCTTTAAAGAGGTACGTCTATTAAAACAAGGCTGTTCGGTGGCCCTAAGCCAACCTGACCAGTGTGTCTATAAGAAGGAGTTCATGACAAGGAAGATGAGAGAAGTGCATGCACAGAGAGTCCTCAACTTAGGATGATTTAACTTAAAATGTTTGTGGTTACAAAGGTCCCCATACAACACTCAGTACAGACATTCGGGCTCTGTGTCAGATGACTTTGCCCCACTGTAGGCTAACATGAGCATCCTGAGCATACCTAAGACAGGCTAGGCTAAGTGTGACTTTCAGTAACTTAAGTGATAAATAATGCTTCTTTGTTTTTTTTTTTTTTTTTTTTTTTGAGACATGGTCTTTCAATATTGTCCAGGCTGGTCTCAAATTTCTGTGCTCAAGTGATCCTCCTGTCTCAGCCTCCTGAGTCCCGGGGACTGCAGATGCATGCCACTGCACCGGGATTTAAATGTGTTTTGACTTAACAACATTTTCGACTTACAATGAGCTTACTAGGACATAAGCCCATCGTAAGTAAGTCAAAGAGCACCTGAACAGAAGAGAGCCCACGTGAGGCCACAGTGACAAGGAGGCTGTCTACAGCCAAGAAGAGAAGCCCTAGAAGGGGCCCTGTGGCAGCTTCGTCTTTGGACTTCTAGCCTCCAGAACTACAAGAAAATAAATTCCTGTCATTTGAGTCACCCAGTCTGTAGTCTTTGTCAGAGCAAACTAAGGTCGCACAAGAGGAGGCCTCTGGCCCTCAGGAGCTGCCTCTCCTGCTCTGCTCCAGGCGCCCTGGGCAGCCCCACTGACTGCCTGCCAGCTCTCAAGGCAGCCACAGTGTCCCACGTCATGGGCACTGCCCAGTATTCCTTGCTCATGGAGTCCTCCTACCAGGACAGTCCTCGCCAATCTGCTTACCAATCACAACCAACCCACCCTGGCACACCCAGGGTCCCCTCCCACCAACTCTTCTGCACCCCCAGCCCACGCATTCCTCCTCAGTCATCCCCGTCAGTTCCATCTGCTCAGCCTAACAGTGAGCTAAGGCCCGGCCAGCAGGGCCAGCATCACCCCATGCTCTCCCCACAGCCCTGCTTCCCCAGGACCAGCAGAGCCAGGGCGGGATGGAGGCCTGGAGCCAGGCTCTGCATTGCATGCTGCTCTCTCTCACTCTGCCTGCTCCCCAGTATCAGTTCCAAACTGGTGCCATCTACAGAGCAAAGCTATGATTTCGGCTGCACTCGTGCCCAGCGCAATTCAGATTTTCTTCAAGGTGCTGCTATTTCCCCCAAGCCATGTTTGTGGAATCCTGGGTTTGCTGCAGCTACTCTGGTATGATATCTCGCTATTAAAATGATACCGAAGGGGAAAGTACCTTAACTCCCACTCCACGCAGCACAGTGAGGAAGCTTAGAAGTGTGTCCTGAGGCCAGAGGCCTGGGTTCAAATCCAAGCGTGGCCAGACTCACTTGCCCAACAGCCTATTCCCTCCTCTTGAAGCCAGGAGGACACATGCTCCTGGCGCCTGCGTTCTAAACTCAGTGTGTGCTGGGCCTTCACCTCCCGCCAGCCCTGTATCTCTGGCCAGTGCCCTTCCATGCTGCCCATGCTCAGGATTCCCAGTCCCTTCTCAGTCCTTCCAACACAGCTGGCCTCCCAAACTGCCTTTTACCATGAGTCCTCCCCCAGGGCCCTAACCTCAAACCACTATTCTCTCTCTGTCCCCTCCCAAGGGGACATCTTACAGTCCAGAGGCCAAAGCACTGTTGACCCTTTGCAGCTAGCTACTAAACTCCCACTTCTGGCCCACAGTTCTCCTGAGCACCAGGCTCATAAGCTGGCTTCCTGGCTTCTCTGTCCCAAGGCTCCTAGTGTCCTTCCCTCCTGATGAGACCCGTCCCGTCCAGAGCTTCCCAATCTCTGTGGAAGGTCACGCCATTCTTCCACTTGCTTAGCCAAAACCAAACTCTATCATCCTCAGCTCCTCTCCTTCTCCCACTCTGCGTGTCCCAGTCATCAGCAAGGAGGGCCGGAACCTGACCTCCTTTCACCCCATCCCTCCTCCAGGCCACCCTCATTTCTCCCTGGGGTCACTGCAGCAGCTTCCCAACAGGTTCCTCTGCTCTCCCAGAAACCCTGCACTCTATTCTCAACACACACTAGGTCTAGGTCCCCCAGGAAAGCTGGGCATGTCTGGCCCGGCACGCCCCGAGGGTAAGGAGTACACTCAATTCTCCAATGAACTYGAGTTGCCTCCTCAGGACTCTTCAGGGCCTCCAGGCCGCTCAGGATAAACACCTAACCCCATGCACCGTCAGCCAGGCCTCCTCCGACCTCATTCATTCCAACTGCTCTGGTCACACAGCCCATTTCCCTGAGTCTTAGCCACTGCATGGGGCCTTTGCGCCTGTGTCTTCTTTAGGATATCAGTAAAATGGCACTCTGTCTGAGCAGACTGGCCCCACAGCCTCCCCCTGGGTTCTGCTCCATTACTCCCTAGCCCCATGTCTGGCTTTATTATGTTCTCTACAGGATTTATCACCTGACACAGGCTCTACTCAGTACTTACTTACAGTCTGTATCCTGAACAAGGCGAAGCCCATGAGAACAGAGACTCTGCTGGCCTCTGTTCCTTCCAGGCCCCGCACCCACTCCACCACCCAAGAGGAACACAGCCAGAGTTCCAACAGGATGTGTTGACCAAGTAAACAAAGTTGCCCAGAGACATTGCTATAACTGTGTCTTATGCCACCCTGGAAAACCCCGATGAGGAGCCCCAGAGGGCACTCCCAACTCCAATCCATGCTCCAGCACAGCCAACCAGAGCCCATTTCCTCATGTCTTCCTTTGCTTCCTGCAGAACCGGTGCTTTGACTCAGCAAACACTCAAGAGCATCTTTTAACTCACCACCAGGGGGTGCTTTTGAGAAAGCAAAGGCCCCAGGCAGAGATGAGCCGCCCAGTGGTCCTGCATGCTTGGTTTCCCATAATGCCCTCATCTAACTGGTTCCAGGGAGACCCAGGACTGCCTTACCTGCCACCAGGTGGGTCCTGCTCCGGGAACACAGAATTGCATTGAACTTGGACTCGTCTGTTCCCAGGCGGTTCTCCCCAGCCGCATACAGCTCCTGGAGAGGAGGGCACATGTTCAACACAGGGCTCACTCCAGACCCCTGGCTCAGGTCACCTAGAAAATAGGGCAGCGTCTGGCCCTGTGACCCCAGAGGAGCAGAAAATGGGGCAGTTGGAGCAAAGGTTTGCTGATCCCCTGCTGTGCTCTAACCCTTGGGGTGGCACAGAGAATGCTGGTGCTGGGAGACAGTCAGATCAGGCAACCAAGGCGAACTGGAGGCCAACATTGGGCAAAGAGCATCCTTAACTGGTCCAAGGGAGCAGCAATGTAGAGAAGAAATGGAAGGAATGGAAGAAGAGGGCTGGGCTCGAGGCAGGTCTCTCCAAGTCCGTTTCTCATCTCTAAAATGCCAAGGGTGAGTTTGATTTGAGGTTGTAAAGTCAAGAGCCCCAGAGAGCCAGCTGGATAACAACTGATAAAAGTAGGTCAGCTTTAAAGCCCAGAGTGGGGCCCCATGGCTAGCCATCCTGAGGGACAGTGCTTCTCAGCAGCAGCTGAGTCCTGTGATAGAGAGACACAGTCTGAGGCTGCCAGATCCATTCCTCAAAGCCTGAAATCCAGATTCTACAGGTAATTTCCCAGCCTTGAAAAACAATTTCCGTATCTATAAGAAGGAATGCATGTGAGCTGGGGTTGTGGCTCAGGGGTAGCGTCCTTGCCTAACACATGTGAGGCCCTGGGGTCAATCCTCAGCACCACATAAATAAAATAAAGGTATTAAAAAAAAAAAAAAAGAAGAAGGAACATGTGAGACAATCAATATTACAACAGCAGATAGATGGCAATCATGAGTAAGGGATTTCATAATTTGTTCTTCCTCTGTTTATTATGTATACCATTATGTTTGCAAAGAGGCAGAATTTGCTTTCACCTGTTAATAAACTTTTGAAGGTTTGAGTCCTAAATACTTGACAATTTGCAACCCTGCCCCAGATGGCCTCTAAGGTGCCTGCAAGTCCCAAGCAGCAGCTCTTAGAMCTGTGGGCACTGATACCCAAGGGAATCAGCAGGTCAAGGTGAGGCTGAAGGAGGTCAGGCATGGAGGAGGGAGAGCATGATACCTCTGCCTTCAACAGAGGTCTGCTGGGAGGTACGGCCGCTCCCTCCCACCAGGACGGGGCTCTCTGAAGCCTGCACACCAGGGTCTGAATGCAATAGTGGGACACACCGACTTTTCCAGAGAAGCATGGACACCTGAGCTTCCTTCCCCTTTTGCTTTGCAAATCACAAGAGGAACAAGGATGGAATTCTAAGGAAGCACAACTGGGTTGACAGCTGGTTTCTAGACTTGAAGCCTCAAAAGCTTAACAGGCAAGTGCTAATTCTTTCCCTTTGCAAACATAATGGTGCACACACCTCAACACCGGAAAGGTCCCAAGCCATGTGAAATCCCACATCCATAACTCGTCGATCAATCATTGCATCATTTATTTTCTTGCATGTTCCCCCCTTATAGGTGGGGAAACTAAGGCCCAGAAGACTAGTGGTTTCTCAAGGTCACACAATTGATAAAGGGCAGAGCATGGCTGAAACCTGAAGCATCTGCAGCCCTCTCTGTATCCATTGCTCTTTTCTTCCCAGAGCATCTCTTTGTGAAGGAAGAAAGTGGGGGACACCCCTGGTTTAGGAAGCCTGGCCTGGTCATCACGCTCACCTGCACATCTCTCTGGACGAGGGACATGTCCACATTGGTGCTTTCATCCCGGTTTCCCTGAAAGGAAGCAGGTGGTACGGTGAGGCCCACCCCGTCGAGGCACGGAGCTCCTCACTGCTCCCCTTCCCTCACTGCTCCAACCCCACTGCTCTGACTGTCTGTCGTGGGGAAGGTACCTGAGAGAGAGAGATGAGGAGCCGCTGGAAGTGCCCCGACGTGTCACTTCGGATGGCCTCCTCCAGGGTCTTTTTGAATTCTGAAAGGGAGACACAAGGAAATCAACTCTCAGCTGCAGCTGCCCACTGCAGAGTYGATCATCAGTGGACAATGGGACAGGACAGAGGCCCAGATGGCCCTTCAAGAAATGCAACCCTGTGACCCCCAGGCTGCCCTGGCCTCTGACAGGCATGGCTCCAACCACAGCCCTCCCTTAGTCACCTGCTCTGTGTGTGAAGGACAGGCAGGGTTGGGCCTGGGTCAAAGCCCAGTGTGCTAGGAGTGGCAGGAAATGGGGTGATAAAGAGGCCAGGAAGGAATAAGAGACCCTGGGAGAGGGTGTGGCCCATACCTGGCATGCAGAGCCGCCTGCAGAGGGCAGAGGCCCTGGGCCAGGCTCACCTGTTTTGTAGGCTCTGTTCAGTTCCCGGATGTGCTCATTGCTGCGGGAAGCGAGGATCTCAATCAGGCAGGCTTCGTCAGTGCCAGCCCCCTACAGTGGCACAGAACACAGCAGACCACACAGTTACCCTCACCAGCACCCTCAAAAGACAGCAGGTGCCACACTGTTAATAGCAACCCCAGAGGCACACCTGTGGCACTGCTCCTGGGCCTGGGAGCCAGTCCCCTCACCCCACTTCCCCAGGCCCAGGTAAGCAATAGATAACAATGTCAATGGAGATGAACACAGATCACATAAAGGATCACCACCACTGACAAGAAATAATCAGAGAGGTACAGTGACTGTCCAGGGCCACACAGTACTTAGTAAGGGTGAGATGTGGACCAAGGTCTATTTTATTCCAAGGTCAGCCCATGAGTGAGATGACAAATAACTGAGAAAATGGGCTAAAAGTAAAAGAGATCAGAGTGGGTGTGTGGGAGTCCCAAGTAGAATGTGGAGTGTCTGGGGACATCTTAGAATAGGCTGCAATGAGGATAAAAAAAAAATGACTATACCAGGGACAGTAGAAAGGCAGAGGACAGAGTCAGCAGCCTTGCTTTTATGTCACTTTGAATCTTGGCCATGTGGTTCACCAGCTATGCAACCTTGATGAGTTACTTAACTTCTCTGTACCTCAGGTGGCTGGGTTAATGTAAGTGGAGCATTTAGACAGTGCTGCTCAGGCAGGATGGCCTCCTCCAGGGTCTTTGTGACCCTTAATTGTAAAAAAAAAAAGTAGCTTATGTGAGCTACTTTTACCATTACTGATACCCCCTTGCAATTATCAGATTACTTGGAGTTTACGATGGACTTCTGTGTTCGGCACTTACCCAGTGCCCACTGCACATCCTGACAGCATCTACTGTCCCCACTTCGTTTATGTTCAAGGACACACAGCTGGGCAGCAACAGCTGCAGCTACGCCTGTGTTGCTCCCAGCACCCCATCACCACCACCTTATCAAGCTGCTGAAGGCGGGTGCGGGGCAGAAGCCTAGGGACCATTGCCCTCCCCAGTCACCTCCTGCGTCCTCCCTGAACCAACACAAGGCAGTGTGTGTTCCAACAGAGTCCTCTCCCCCTTCCAGGCACCACACTGAATCTCTACTTCTCCTGGGAGAGGCATTGGACCCCAGTGAGCAGTTCCTTCTGGGATGCATGCTCCACCCACAAGGAACCCCCTTCTGAGGGGTTGTCCCTTCTCAGCCCCAGGACACACACGGGTGCAGGACTGTATGGATGGATGGGACCTGCCCCTCAGCCGGAACCATCTAGACCTGCGGGGGACAGTGACCCCAAGCCAAGTCCATCAGAATCTGCCCCATTAGGAATCTGGACAAGGGACAGCTGGTATCTTCTGTAGCTGGATCTGATAGGTGGCGGAGATGGCGGTGGGGTACAGGGTGTCATCATTTGGAAGCAAATACCCCAGAAGAAGTGGACACAGAAGTCACATCTGGATCCTGCCCTTTACATACCCTGGCCCTGGCCCTGGCCCTCCTTCTCTGTGCCAAGCTGTCTTCATCCCCACGACCAGTTCTCTGCCTCTATTTTGGTTCAGCTCAAGCAGGTGGCTGCCATTTGCTAGTGGCAGAGACCCACAGGATGAGAGCTCCCCAACCATGGCCTCGACCCCCTCTCTCACTCCATTACCACCTTCCTCTATACCCCCAGCTCCTGACACTTAAGATGGAAAGAGGCTTGGACACTCCCTCTGACAAATGGCATGTCATGTGTCTCTTGGGGAAATTACCGGAAGATGTGCTTTCTACAGCATGTTGACTCCAACCCAGGAGGGCCCAGGAGCTGCACTGAGCAACAGCAAGGAAGGGGACAGCCACATTTCACACCATCCAGCTCTCTTCTGGGCTGTGTGTCCACACCCACACTCCACTCCACACCCCTCCCCACAGCCCTACGTGTACATACCTTGATGGCTTCCTTTATCTCATACACATCAAACAGGACTGGGGTCTTCATCAGAGCCAAGATAGTCTTCTCAAAGTTTCCTGACAGCTCAGACTTCAAGTCTTTGATCAAATCCTGATTGCATTTTCAAACAAACAAGACAAGGACATTTTGAGAATCCACAAAAGGTGACTCACAGGAACAGAATCCCAAATGGGACAGCCACATCATGGACATCACAGGGAAGAAAAGCCTGCTTTCAGGGACAGGCCTCAGCTGCAGAGCCTGCAATTATACAGGATGCCCACCACTGGGGGCACACCAAGGGGAGCGCTGGGCCGGGCACTCACCCATTCAATATATACATGATTATTTTTGTAAGGTTCAAAGTTCTAGAAGTTGAAAATATACCCCTTTTGCATTTGTTCAGTTCACAAATCTTTTCTTCCAAAACTCCTTTGTCAGCTAAACCTCCCAGGGTGTCATGAAGAGGGAGGGGAAGGGACCCTGAGGCTGGGTAGGGCTGGGGGAGAAATGAACTATGCATGGTGTCAGTGAGTGGTGGCAGAGCCAAAGTTGCAATCCAGCTGTCCACATGCCTCTCATCAAGCCTCACTACACTATGGACTCTGGGGGTGCTTCCTCCAGGCATCCTTCACCTCTAAAAGATGTCACCATCTGGGGACAACCAGCTGGGGAAGATCAGGAAATGTCCTAATGCAGTTCACTGTCCATTAGATGTCCAGGTCCACTTGGCCCCAAGGAAAAGTGGGTCTGTAGGCCATGCTTGCCTCTATAGGGACCAGGCCCCACTGTCCTCACCCACCCCCACCCCATAACTCACCTTGCCATAAGCTGTCTTGAAGGACAGGAGGATCTGTTGCCGCTGCTTGTTGGAGCGACTCCCCAAGCAGTCGATGATGGCCTGCTCATCAGTCCCTAGGGATGAGGAGGTGGGAGTGGGTCATGGGATGCTTTGCAGGTGATAGGGACGTTCTGTGATTACTGACTCCTGGCCTGGGGCCGCTAATTCTCCTGGACACCCCTACACTCCCAAGCCCACCTTTCCTTCCAACACCACTGGGGTCAGGTTCGCCTCCCGCCAGCCACCTCAGCCCACGGAACCATCTTGAAACTGCTCAGGGATTTGGGGCATGGGGTGGGGTGTGGACTGAGCCTCCCCAGGTCTCTCACCAAAGCCCTTCATGGCCTTCCGTAAGACCTCGGCATCTCGCAAGGGGTCAAAGCCAGAAGCATCTGTGATGGTGCCTCGGTTTCCAAACTACTTGGACAAAGAGTTGCAGGTAAGATGACTCACTCTGGCTGTCCAGTGCCAAGGCTGTCCCACCCCAGACTCTGGCACCTCTTCTCTCTAAACCTGGGGGAGCTCAAGGAGCCCGAAATAAACAGTGCAGAGGGCTCCACATTGAGTCTCCCTCAAGTGGCTGTCACCTGTCCTTGTGTTCTGGTACGGGTTTCTTCCCGGCTTCTGTGGCTAGGAACCCTTACAGCTGGGTCCTGCCGCTGAAAACCTGCCCTCCACTCAGGTCCTCCAGGGCTGGGCCTAGGTCCTGAAGAAGGGCCCTTGGCCTGTCCTCCATGCCGAATCACATCATGCATGGAGCACACATCAGGACAGTCCTGACGGGTGGCCAGTCCACGTGACCCTGGAGATGCCGGCACCCAGCCCTCACAATGGTGGGTGGCCTCTTAACTGCTTCTTGGGACTCGAGTTTATTCCCTGTCCCTGTCCCTGTCCCTAGAGGCCATGCTGCCTGACTACTACACTGCCTGCACAGCCAGCAGCTGTACAACCCCAGTGAAATTGAACTTCCCAGTTGCTATTTGACTTTTAAATGCCTCCCAGAGACTCTYGTGTTAAAAGGACTTTGCAGAAAGCCTGCGGCACTAGTGGGAAGTGGCAGCACCGTGAGGAGCCGGGGCCTGGTGGGAGGAAGTTAGGTCAGTGAAGGTGTGCCCCGCCCCTTCCTCTCTGCTCCCTGGCTACTACGAGGTGACAGCTCACTCCAAGCACTCTGCCTTGATACAGGCCCCAACAACAGGCCAAGTGACCATGGACTAAAACCGGGGGTCCAAATAYATCTGGCCTCCTTTAAGCTGTTCGTCACAGGTATTTGCCAAAATGACAGAGAGCGAYTGCACAGGCTCAACTGTCTCCTGGTGGGCCGTCCTCCCAGGCAGGCTAGATAGACGGCTATGACACAGTGAGGAGATGTGCTCAGAGAAGAGATGGGAAGGACGCGGGGAGGCAGGCTGGAGGGTGGCATGGAGGCGGACAGGGAGCAGAGGGGACCCTCTGTCTAAAAATAGTCACCCAGCACATAACACCAGCCCTGTGCTTGGCTRCTCTGCCACGTAACCATGACAATGAATTCTAGGCTCTGCAAACATGAACCGTTCTCCAAAATGAGCCAAGATCAACCCTGGAGGAACTGCCAACAATTTTCCCAGCCCAAAGGGGATTTTAAGAATCCTCCAAAAYCTGTCTGGGAGGGCCCATCGAGGGGACTATAGGGCAGGAGCCTGGAGACTGGTGGCCTGGGTAGTTCTGAAAAATTCACAACACAGCCCAGGCAGTAAATCACAGGAGGAATGAACAGCATCCAACTTGCACTTGAAGCCAACTGGGAGAAGCTCCCACAGGCCTAAGGCATGGCCCCAGGGGAGCCTGTGACAAAGTGATACTCTGTCCAAATAAGCAGCAGCAAAGGCCCAAGCCCTCCAGCACCTCCTGGCCTKGCTGCCAGAAGCCACAGGGAGGTCTCCAGTTTTGGGGTTCAGGTCCCAATCAGCACTCACCTGAGCTGGGGGGACAGCAGGAGTGACAGTCCCAGAGCTTGGGTATCCTGGGTAGCTTGGTTGAGGCTGCTGCCCTGGCGGTGGYATTGGTGACTGCCCAGGGTAGGTCATTGGTGGCTGCCCAGGATAAGCCCCTGGGGGCTGCTGCCCAGGGGGTGGCATGGGCTGGCCTGGCACAGGGGCCCCTGGGTACGGTGGATATGAGGGCATCCCAGAAGGTGGGTTTCCTCCAGGGGGTGGGTACATTCCATATGGAGGAACAGGCTGCTGGGCTGGAGGGGGCTGCCCRAAGCCCCCAGGAGGGACTGGAGGGTAACCACCCCCAGGGGCCCCAGGGTACATGTTTGGCACGTTGGCTCCTCCGAATGTCCCAGACATGTTGGCTGCCTGCAAGTRCACAAAGCAGAGCCTGAGAACCCCAGCCCACAAGGTCTGGTGGCGGTCCGATGGTCTACCCTTCCCTGGCCTGAGCCCTGCCAGCTCCCAGGAGCCTCATTCCAGGACCTGCCCACCAAGCCCTGCTACCTAAGCTCTTCTCGTACCTGAGCTGACTTGTATTAAGTGCTGTATTAGCACCTCCACCACAGCTACATGATGGATAATCACACCCACAAAGTGGGCTCAGAGACAGGCACATTTGTTCAAAGCTACAGAGTCAGCAAGTGGTGCAGCTGGGGCTCTGACCTGAAGGTCTACATCTAAAGCAGAGACCTGCCACCCCCCGTGCAGAGGAGACGCCTTCCTTCTCCCACAGCTGCTGTTTCCAGCCAGACCCACTGGCTAAAGGTAGGGGCTCACAGCCCCAGAAATCAAGAGGGTCCTTTCCTGCAGGCTGGCCACCGGCTCTGCAAATGAGGCCCAGGAGGATGTGTATTCACAAGGATAAGAGCCCGGATCCCCGACAGGGTCCTGTGTCCTGAGACCTGGGCCGCCTCCATCTTTCGCCCCGCACTCACCTCTCCTCTCCAGCTCACTGTCCCTGAGCACATCAGGCCACAGCAGCTCAGAAATCTACAGTCCCTAACATCCACACGGCACACCCCTCTTCTGCTTAGATCTTTGCTCAACACCCGCTCCCACTCTGACCCACCTTAAAAGATGGAACCTCTACCTTATAAGCTGTATCCCACGTCACCCTACCCACTCCCGACCCTTCTTCCTGGCTTTTCTTGCTTCCAAAACCCTTCAATACAATATCATCACATGGTTACATCATTGTCTCTGTCTTCCCAACAGATGCTGAGCGCATCAGGGCTGCGATTTTTGTTGTTTTATTTGCACACCCCTAACACCTAGAGCTGGGCCTCAGCAGATCTAGATGTGCACTGGTTGCCGTTTCTACATCTGCTGTCAAATTTTTAAATATATTTTAGAAGCAAAACAACAAATAAAAGTGTCTGCCCACTCTCCTGCCATACACCCACCCAGGACCAACGAGACAGATCTCCACGTGTACACACACGCCTGCACACGCAGACACCTGTATAAAACACTCTCATGCACACACACATGCACAAACATGTGCACACACACACACACCCCTTCCCTCTGGACCCTGTGCTGAGCTCATAAGAAGGTGCTCCACAAACTTCCATGAAGGCACCACTCTTACCCAACCCCCAGGGCTGAAAGGACCCTGAGAGACCATCAGTCCAATTATGCTGCCCTTCTCCTCATCTGACAGAGGGGGACACTGAGGCCCAGAGAGGCGGTGAGGAGGTGGCAGAAGGCTGAGGAAAACCCGAGTGTTCTAACATACAGCTCAACGCACTCCAGCTCAGGACCACCTCTGGAGCCACAAGGGGCCAGTGCCCTGACCCCTCTGGCCACACAGCTACAGCCTCAGGAGCAGCCTCAGGTGCTGGACTCACCATTCCTGAGAGGTAGTCCTGGTTGAACTGCCCAGCGTAGTTGGCCATGTTATCCAGCCCGATGGGGGGCATGCTGGGTGGGGGGTAGCTAGCTCCGCCCCAAGCACCACCACCTGAAAACAACACCCAATGTCTACAGTGATGTGCAGGCTCAGGGTGAGGAATCCTGCGGGTTTGGCTTTTTGCTCTCCTGCGGGTTTGGCTTTTTGCTCTAAGTCTATAAATGGCAGAGACGAGAAGGATGACGGGATGGAGGAGATAGGGTTGCCTGGTGGCAAACAGACACTAACAAGTTTCCACAAGGGGACATTAGAGCCAGCTGTGTGTCCTAGGGCAAGGTTCTCAACCACTCTGGGCCCATCTCCTCTGCCAAAAAATGGGCACAATGCCCAGTGTGTGTATCCAGCTGCTGCGATGGGGAATAAGCTAATGCCTGGGCAGTGGCTACATGTGGCCACTGGACCCGGTGGAGGCTGCTGACTGGCAGGTGCACTCCTGCCCACGGCGGCCTCGCGTCCGGCTCTTCAGTTCCAGGGCTGTGGGATACTCAGGGACCATCCTGCCCTAAGACACGCGCCTAYTCTCCCTCCTGCTGCTCGGGCTGAGCAGCCATGCTGACAGAGGTGGGGACGGCAGGATTTCTGCGGAGGAGATTGGGGCCAGTGTGGTTAAGCTAGGGGTGAGCAGCTGCTTCAGCAGAAGTGGCCCGGCTCAACCCTGAGGTGAAAGTGACAAGTGACTGAGTCTCCTCCCCCTTGGGCTTGGTCTTCACCTGTTGAATGGGAGGGAGGAGGGAGGAAGGGCACAAATGGCCTACAGGTTCCACTGATGCTTAGACCTCAGCTCCAAAAGTGTGTGATGTGGGCTGTGTCCCCTGGGGCAAGGGGCAGCACAGCTTGGACTCCCTCTGAGGGACTGTCCCTGAAATGGCCCTTGCCTCCCCTTCATTCCAGAAGCTCCCACATCTCCTTTTCTAGTGTGGGGACCAAATATCATTTCAGGAAAATGAGGGCCCAGGGCCAGGGCAGAAGAGCCCTAAGTGTAAGACAAGCTTTGCTTCTGGGGCAGGGTTCAGATCACCCACTGGGAGGGGCAGCCTCACCCTATAACACATGGCTTCAGGCAGCTGCAGGGAATGACACGTGACCCCCACCATCTGCCTCCAGGAGACAGCCTCTACTTCCTCCCTGGGAGAGGGCAAAACCATGCTCCCCCAGCCAGGGTGAATGCTCTGGAGGGCACCTAGTCAGAGCCTTTGCCTGCCAGGCTCATGAGCAAACCTGGATATATGGTGAGTATGTCATTAGTAGCCCAGCGAAGGAGAGATCTTTGAAGTCACTTTGCAAAGGAGAAAATGGAGTCTCAGAAAAATAAAGGCATTTGTCCACTTCTTTATCAGCTAATAAGGTTAGAGACAGTCCTGGTCTGGCCCAGGGCCTTCCAGAACCAGTTTCAAACCCAGGCTTCCCCAAGCCTCAGCGTGGATCCTCTCCAGGCCCTGCCCGCCCTGGGGAGGTCCCCTCTGTTGTGCTTGCCTCCTGCAGGTTGTGCTCTGGGGAGGACWGGGAGTGAGGAAACTCCCATTCCTCCCTCCCCACTCCTGGCCCACCCCACCCCACCCCTCTTACCTGGTGCAACTGGGGGGTAGCCACCAGGAGGTGGGGGATAGCCTGGGTAGCTCATGGCTAGATCTGAAAGAGAAGAGAAAGCACACTCAGGTGTGTCCTGGGCGTCCTCACCAAGCAGGCTTGCTGGTCAGCTACGAAAGGACAGCAGCCATGGCCACAGCTCAGGAGTTGCATCAGGCTGGTGGCACAACCCAGCTTACTCGCTCCCTGTGGGGCCTCAGAGCTGGGCCTCAAACTCGGACTGTGGGCCAGGCCCCAAGCCTAGGCCACAGGAAGACTCACCACCTGGAATCTTCTCAAATCCTGGACAGCCCTCTCACCCACATTTCCCTCCAGCCTCAGGGGACAAAGGTGCAGCGTGTGTCTGGACCTGCCCTCTGACCTCAAGTGACAGAGAAGAGACCGTCTCCTTTTCAGGGCTCCAAGTCCACGTGTCTTCCTCTTCCTGTGCCTTTATCACCATCCCTCCAGCAACAGGGGAAGTCAGGGGACCCCGTCTCCCTGTGGCCAGCCTACAACCCCCAGCTACTCCCATCTTGGGTCTGACTGAGGCTACACCTTCCAGTTTCCAACCACTAGTTCGTCAGGCAAGGGACCTGGCCAGTACAGAACTATCCTTCCTAGAAACAGAAGGGCCCTGCACGGGGATTTTACCTGTTGTGGGGCCCAAAATCAGGGCAGAGGGGACAATGCCCTTCTGTTCATGATGATGAGGCCACTGCAGGTCACTTCAAGTAAGTGACTTACTTGCTGATAAGATAGTAAGGGGAGGAGAGAGTCTGGAACCCACAACAGCTGCAGGACACCTGTTCCCACAGTCCCTCCATACACAGACCCTTGGCAATGCCCATTGCCTACGAGGGACACAGATCAGCCGCCACACCATCCACTCAAAAGACTCAGTTCCCCTTCATCCACTCTGAAGAACCAGACATGTTGTTTTTAAGGAACTGAAGGGCTCTCAAGGTGCCACAGGTCCCCAGAAGGCGATCCGGGTTCTCAGCCATTGGGTGTGGTCACTTGATTTGCTCAGTGGGTCCAGAAGTGACCAGAGGCAAAGCAATGGGAAGTCAGGTGGTGCTTTAGAGGTCTTGGAGAGAGCTGGAAYTGCTACCTGCACCTTGGACAGACCACCCTTCCCCTTGCAGTTTACCATCTGGTCCAGATGACCCTTCCCAGTGCAGTGTACCATCTCTCTGAACATCTGGCCCATGCACTGCCTGGGGCATGGTATGAATCATCACCCAGCAGCCAGGTGACCTATCAGCAGGAAGCCCCGCTGGTCCTGCCCTCAACCTGCTCCTTCAACCCAGATTCTGATGGGACCCTCAGGCCTCCCAGGGAGGAGGGAGCCTGGGTGGGGACAGGTGACCCAGGAACCTTCTGACTGTAAGGAGCTGCCTGCAGCAGGATGAGTTGGCATCTGCCCCTCCAGAGACAGCACTGGACAGGACTTCCACTGTATTCTTTCTACTCCTCTTCCTTACACCAAATAAATGTTCACTAGGCTGGAGATTTAAACGTAAGCAGCAGCCCCAAATCCCAAAGTCACAAAATAGAGCTTCTGCCTTATCAGAAACAACCTAAAGACATAACAAATGACTAACTTATGGGGAAAGTTATACAATTAAAAAAAGCCAGCTACTCAGGAGGCTGTGGTTTGAGTTCAAGGCCAGCCTGGAAAACACAGGAGACCCCCCACCTCAAAACAAAAAAGAAGAGACCAATAACCATTAGAAAAACTGAAATGATGTGGATGAAACACGTTCGCCTTCAAAAGGTGCTAAGAGAAGMACCAGTTAAAAATGCAGAGATATCAAAATTAAAAATGGCACTTGCTTTAACCCAGCAACTCCACTAGACATTTATCTCCCAGAAGCACTTGGCCCTGTAGGAAATGATGTAGGGCCATGGATTTATTGTGGTATTACCTGTAACAACAGAAAACCCCTCACCACCCAACATCTGGTCAAACATAAAACACAACAGAGTCCTACAACACACCCTTCAGATTTAGCCAGCTGTCTCTCTATGGGGATCATTTCATGTCCCCACTATTCACCAAGGTACAGGGCTACGTATATACAAACTGGTAATAAAGAAACCAGAAACACACAAACTAAGTGATGCCCGTAAGTACACGAACCCAGACCACCTCTGGAGTGATGAACAAGACTCTGGGAACCCTGGTTGCCTCTGGAGGGGAAAGCGGGGACTGGAAGTGAGGCTTGCTGTTCCCGCACACACCCTCTGCATTTCTGCCACACATGTACTACCTACCAAAACACAGCTTTAAAAAAGGCTTAGTGCAGGCGGGCACTTCTGACCACACATCAGGCCACTCCTTCCTGCCACACAGATTCATGGCTGTTCTTCCAAGATTAAAATAACTAACATAGGGACACTCAGACCTGGCATCAGGACTCCAGGCCTGTCAGCCACACAAAGGGGACGGCACTCAACTTCTGGGAGGACAGCTGTGGAGCCTCCTGGCAAGAGTCAAACCTGCCCCCTAGGAAGGGCCCTGCCCTGCAGGCCCACAGGGCGGGCCTAAGGCACCTGCAGAGCCTTAGCCCTGCAGTCCCTCATCGGGGTCCTCTCTTCTCCCCAGGACACACCTCCCACCTTCCTCTCTCCTGAAAGAAGGATCTCCTTATTCCCAGTATTTTTTACCCAGAATAGTTTCAAGCCTGCTGCTCACTCACTTATCTGTCTCTGAGCTTTTCCCGGTGCAGTCTGCAGAGGCAGGGCAGGACATCTTGCTGCCTCTCCGTGGACAGAGCTGCCCACCTCTCTGGATGGCCACGCATGGGTTTTTCTGGGTGATGGAGCCCGTACGGGATTCCTGTTAAATTTCCCTTGTAGATCCTGCCGTGGCTCCAGTCCACTGAGAAACCCTGCATCCTGACCCACATCACACCTCAGCTCTTGCTCCCTTCACTTCCCAGCTGCAGATCTGATGGGAGTGGCATCTGTGCTTTTCTTCCCAGGAACAGAGGCCAGCCACTTCCTGACCCATCATGCTGACAACTCCCCACCATGGTATCAGACTCAGGGACCCAGTGCCCCCCTAAAGGTGTCACAACCCAGCCCACATCCCCACCACGTTCAGATGAGGGCTGGAGCAGCTTATGTCTCTGACAGTTGCAGGGGAAGCAGGGGAAACATAAAGTGGCCGGATGGCCTGGGGTGGCCTTTAGGCCTCACCTTGGACCTCATCTTCTCCTCCCACCCATCTGGCCCCCAGTCTCCGTTTCAGAGGACAGCCACGGAAAATAGCACTGTGAGCTCCAAGCAGCAGACCTGCCTCTCTTCCACATTCATGAGGATCACTCTGCCTCCTGGACCTAGGCCTCTCTCCTGTCCTTGAGCAAAGAAAAAAGGTGCCTGGGGACTGGGGTGTGACTCAGTGGTAGTGTGCTTGCCTAGCATGAGTGAGCCCTGGGGTTCAATCCCCAGTGTAAGGAGAAGAAAGAGGAGGAGGAGGAAGAAGAGGAGGAGGGGTAGGGAAGAAAGGAAGGGGAGGAAGGTGCATGAACCTGGGGGCATGCTTCACATTACTGAGTGAGTCTGCCAGCTAGGGCATGTCCCTCCTTCTATATGCCCATATATGATCACAGCACCCAGACATGGGGCTTCACTGGAGAGGTTCTCCCACATACTAGGCAGCTGGCCTCTTGAGGCTGACCTCCAGCTTCAATTCTTTTTGTTTTTGGTCCTGGAGACCCAGAAGTTCTTTACCACTGAGCTACAGGCCCAGTCCTCTTTATTTATTTTGAGAGTCTGGCTAAATTGCTGAGGCTGGCCTTGAACTTGTACTTCTCCTGCCTCAATCTCCTGAGTTGCTGAGATTACAGGTGTGGGCCAACATGCCTGGCAGAACTGCTCCAATTCTTAGAACCTGCCTCTGGGGAATCTCCAGCCTCTGGTCCAGACTCTCTGGAGGACCTTGCAGCACAAACACCCCCTTCCTTCCTGCAAYTGTGTACTGATTTCATTAAGCTGTGGCCACTGCAGGTAAGAGTTTGCCTCAATAAAACAGTCACCGGTGGGGCCTGTTACCGCCCCCCACCCGAGTGCTGGGTCCCACTGCCATAATCCAGCATCGGCAAGTCTGGGGCAGGGCCCAAGAAGTTGCATGTGTGACATACTTCCATGTGATGCTGCTGGACCATGGGCCACACTTGGAGCGACACTGCTTTCCCATGTGTGAGCATCACCAGGAGAACTCAGGAAACACTGATGCCTCCGCACCAGGCATGAGGGGCCCTTGAACCTGAGGTGGGCCCAAGGATATGAAATGTAAACATGCAACACCAACCCGAGGCCCAGGATTCTGATGAATTGGTTTTGTGGTCCACATGCTGGAAAATGCTCCTTCCTTCAAGGTATCTGACCTTTCTGGCCTGTACCATCTGCTTTCCCTTCCAGCAGCAGACTGAGAAGACGCATCCCAGCAGAACCAAACTCCAGGGCGCTCGTGAATGTCGAAGGAAAGAGCTGGGGGCGTCAAAGGGACTAGCAAAGAGCCTGTTCTCTGCAGCTGTGAATAGGTGCTCAAGTACACCAGTAAATTTCAAGGGCCCCACACGGACACTCGCCAGTCCTCACACACAGAAAGCCAGAAACGCATGTTGTGCAGGAGGCTGAACCACCCAGAGAGAGTTTGCTTTCCACTCCTGGCTGTCCCCCACCCAATGGGAAGATGGACACCAGGCCTCCAGCCAGCAGCAGGGCTGGCCTGTGCACATCATGTGGTGGCAGTATAGAGATGGCCTGCCTGGAGGAGACACAAAGGCTCACACAGGACAGAGCCTGCACTGGGTTAATGCTGAGAGGCCTGGACAGACGAGAAGGGATGCCTTCCTGGGATGACCCTCCACTGACCTTCCTGGGCCTGTGGGAATATTCATTTATCCATTTGTTTTTTAAATATTAAATCTTTAACCTGCTTTTACACAAAACTTAAATATAGATAGTTCAAACCATAATGTTCTGATAATCCTCAATGCTCTGTTCTGTAAAAGAAAAGGAACAGCTCACACCCCCTAATCCCAGCTACT